ATAAAACATTTATTGAAAGGGTGCATGCACTTATAAAAATTTCCAGCAATATCAAAGAGCATGTACAATGTAAAGCATGTCACTAGCCTTTGCTTGATACGCCCCTCCCCCCAAACAAAACAAAAAAATCCCCTCACTGCCATTGAGTCAATTTCTACTCATAGCAACTCTATAGGACCAAATAGAATTGCTCCTGTGGGTTTCTGTAACTGTTCATGGGTGTAGAAAGCCTTGAATTTCTCCACAGCACAGTTACGTGTTTTTTTGAACCACTGACCCTGAGGCTAGCTGCCCAACCCGTAACCACTATGCTACCAGGTTACTATCTGTTTCCTAAGAATTTTTCCCAGAAGACTCTGCATATAAAAGTAGACAGGGACAGATCCTGTTCGTTTTTATATATATAAACAATGGAAGCCCACGGGGCAGTCCTCCCATGGTCCATGCAGTTGTTATGAGTCGGAATTGACTGCATCAGAGTGGCAAATGACACACTTTTTTGCACTTAGCTTTTTTCCTTTACCAATATCTCATATATTAGAAATAAATATGTGTAGATTTCCTACGTAGATTGACCCAGTGTGGTAGAATAAAACGGCTTCATGGGGTTTCTAGGCAGTAATATTTGTAGAGGAACCCTGGTGGTACAGGGTTAGCTGCTAACCGAAAGATCTGTGCCATGGGAGAAAGATGCGGCAGTCTGAAAACCCCATGGGGTCTTATAGGGTTTCTATGAGTCACAATAACTTGATGACAGGGATTGTTTTTCTGGAATCTTTCAAGAGCAGATCATCGGATCTTCTCTTCTGCAATTGGGTTCTAATTGACAATCTTTTGCTTAGCAACAGAACCCTAACCTGGTCCCCGGCCACCCTTCCCATCATTGCTATGTTTGAAGCCCTTGTTGCAGCCGCTGAGTCGGTCAACCTAATTGAGGGTTTTTTCATCTTTGATGCGGACCAAGCATGGTTTCCTTCTCCAGCGACTGGTCCCTCATGATGACGTGTCCAAAATACAGAAAACAATCTCTCACCATCCTCCCCTCCAAGGAACATTCTGGTTGTACTTCTTCCAAGGTAGATTTGTTTGCTCTGGTCATTTATGGGCTAGTCAATATTGTTAGGCAACAACCATAATTCAAAAGCCTCAGTTCTTCTTTGGTCTTCCTTATTCACTGTCCAGATCTTGCATGAATATGAGGTTACCAAAAGTATTATGGCGTGGGTCGGGCACACCTTAGTTCTCAAAGTGACATCCTTATGCTTCAACATTTTGAAGAGGTCTTTTGCAGCAGATTTGCCCAACGCAAGATATCTCTTGATTTCCTGACCGGTTGCTTCCATGGACATTGAATGTGAATCCAGATAAAGTGAAATCCTTGACAGCATTCATCTGTTCTCCATGTCTCATAAAGTTGCTTATTGATCAAATTGTGAAAATTTTTGGTTTCTTTGTGTTGAGATAGAATCCATACTGAAGCTCGTAGTCTGTCACCTTCATCAGTACATGCTTCCAGTCCTCTCACTTTCAGCAACCAACAGTCATCTGTATACCTAAACCGTTAATGGGTCTTACGTCAATACTGATGCTGCAGTCTTCTTCTTACAGTCCACCTTCTCAGATGACTTGTTCAGCATACACATTTAATAAGTATGACTACATACTTATTGAATGACTACAACTCTAATACATATCTTTCCTGATTTTAAATCATGCAATATGCCCTAGTTCTGTTTGTACCAGTGCTTCTTGGACTTATGTACAGGACCCACATGAACACAGTGAATTGCTCTGGAATTCCCATGCCTACCAGCGTGAACTATAATTTTCTATGATCCACACACTTAAATACCTTTGTCTAGTCGATATCACACAGGTGAACATCTTTCTTTCCAGAATTATCTGCTTTTAACCATATAACACCAGATCCCTTGATTCCATGTCTTCTTCTGAACCTCTGCTTGAGTTTCAGACAGTTCCCTATCAATGTACTGCAGTAAAATTTTACTTGGGTATGAGATATTACTGATATTGTTCAATAATTTTCACGTTCTCTTGGATTATCCTTCTTTGGAATGGCCACAAATATGTTTCTCTTACAGTTGGTTAGACAAATCACTTTCTTCCAGATTTCTTGGCTTGATGAATGAATACTTGCAGTGTTATATCCATTGGTTGAAACATCTCAATTGGCATTCCTTCAATTCCCGGAGGCTTGTTTTTTTGCTAATGCCTTCTGGGCAACTTGGACTTCTTCCTTCCCCATCATTGGTTCTCGATCATCTACCACTTATTGAAATGGTTGAATGTCATCCAATTCCCCTTGGCAAAGTGACTCTGTATGCTTTTCATCTTTTTTTTTTTGCTGTTTCCTGCGTGGTAAATATCTTGCCCATAAAATACCTCAATAATTCAACTCGAAGTCCTGATTTTTTTCTTCAACTTTTTCAGCTTGAGAAATGCCAAGTGTGTTCCATCCATTTGGTTCTCTAACTCCAGGTCTTTACACATTTCATTATAATACTTTGTCTTTGGGAGTTGCCCTTTGAAATCTTGTGTTTGGCTCTTTCATCATGTTTTCTATTCACTTTAGCTACTTTATATTCAAGAGGAAGATCAGAGTCTCTTGGAACATCCATTTTCAACTTTTAAATGACTTTTTGCTTCCTTCAGGTATGTCATCACACCACTCATTGGTCTTCTGTCATTAGTATTCAATGCTTGACATCTATTCTTGAGGTGGTCTAGAAATTCAGGTGGGATCCATTCAAGGCTGCAAGTTGACTTTAAACGGTTTTTTGTTGTTGTTGTTCAGCTTCAACTTGAACTTGTATAGGAGCAATTGGTGGTGTGTTTCAGTGAGCGCAAGCTTGACCTCTTCTGACTGATGATATAGAGCTTCCTCGTTGCTTCTCTCCACAGATGCAGTTAATTTGGTTCCTGTGTATTTCATTTGATGAAGGCCTCATGTACAATCACTTTATGTTGTTGAAAAAAAGTATTTCCAATGAATAGGTCCCTTGGTCTAGCAAAATTCTATCACGTGATCTCCTTTGTTGTTTCTATCACCAGTGCCATGTTTTCCAATTACCAATCCTTCTTTGTTTCCAACTTTTGCGTTCCAGCCACTATTTATCAATGCATCTCGATTGCCTTTTGGATCATTTTCAAAGTGCAGAAGTTGGTAAAAATCTTCAATTCTTCATCTTGGCATTCGTGGTTAGTGCATATTTGAATTGTAGTTGTGCTGACTGGTCTACCTTGTAGGTATATGAATATTATCTTATCACTGACAGCATTGTACTTTAAGAGAGAGATCTTGAAATGTTCTTTTTGACAATGAATGCCATTCCTCTTGACTTTGTCATTTGAAAGACGACAAATTACACAATCACATGACTGAGTTAAAATGGCAAACGCCAGTCCATTTCAGCCCACAGATACCTAGCATTTTGATCTTTCGGCATGGGAGTTGGACACCTTCTAACTTAACTACACCCATGCTGTGTGCATACCAGGTTTCCATTATGAATGGATTTTTAAAAGAGCCACCCTATATCAGTAAACAAACATCGCAGAAGCTTTATTTTGTCCATGGCATTAAGCTTGACTCTACTTTGAGGAGGCACCTCTTCTAGATCATATTCTGAATGCCTTCCAACCTTGGAGGCTCATCCTGTTGCATGTTATCAGATAATATAATATTCTGTTTCCATTCAAAAGGTTTTTCCCTCACTGTTTGTTCGTCTGTTTGCTTCCTTTCAGAAGTAGATAGGCAGGTTCTTCTTATTTGGTTTGGAAGCACTGCCAAACCCCATTCACCATAGTTGACCCTACTGGCATTTGAAACACCAGTGGCATAGCTTCCAACATCACAGCCACAGGCCAGCCATCACAGTACAACACACAGAGTAGTTCGAATATGTTTGTGTTATAGTATGCATTGTAACATAACGTTGCCATATAAAGCATATTTTCTTTTAGAGATTCCATTATTTACTGTCTTAGGCTGTATCAGTTGGCTCCGGATCTAAGAAGTTTTACTTCTCTTAGGCTGGACTGCCTTCAGAAGGATAGCTGATTGTGATTTTCCCCTTGGTTTCCATCCAAGTGTTCTCCAGCACATTGTTAAACAGGTGTGTTGGCTGATTACTATTGGTTCCCTGACGGGATACACCCAGAGCTACCTTTAATTTCTCTTGACTTGTTTCCGTGTACTGTGATGTGTTTGGCAGAGTGTTTCCTCCCATTTTCTCGCTTTGCCTCCTTCTCTTGCTGCTGCTTTCCACATCCGGAAGGGGTGTCTTGGAGGCCTCCCCTTCCTTTCCTCTCCTACCCATCCAGTGAGTGGGGTTCAGCAGCACTGAGCCAATGACGGGCCAGCGGAGATTCTCATTGTAGACCAATGAGATACTCCTCTGTTCCAGAAGGACCAATGAGCTTATTGGGAACATGGACTACCTGGCTCACTGGCCTCTGCCCCCTTGTTCTCGGAGTAAAACGCCTCTAATCTTGATGGGTCAAAGATTTGAAGGTGCAAAAGAAACCCCACTGTGGCTCTCCCCACCCCCTTCCTTTTGGTGGCTTTAATGCATGCCCACAACTTTTGCTTAAGGCCAATAAAAGACGCCTTTCTCCCTTTGTAAAATACAGAGGGGTTGGGTTTCCTTCAATTGTCTGCCCCATTCTGTCTCCTCCACTATTTTGGTTTGACTTCGTAGTTAACTTTACATAGAGCTGCTTCATCTGAGGACCTGTGCGTGGACCCAGACGCTTTCTTCTCCTTGCCGGTTTCACCAGCCTGTTTGTAGTTCTAACCTGGGGGTGTTGGTGGGGCGGGGCGGGGCGGGTGAGAGGGGCGGTGGTGGAGGGTGGGGGAGAGAAGAGTTTGGCTATAGTCTTCCTTTTGCATTCCTCACACATTCAGCTCTCTCTCTCTTTCACTCACTCACACGCGCGCGCACACACGCACACGCACACGCCCGCCCGGGCCCCTCTCAGTGTGTCTTCCTTCAAGATGACAGGGCGCTGGAGAAAAGGCCGCTGGAATCAGCTGGTAGGTACAGTAGTAACCCGAACCGCACCCACCCGCCGCCTTTGCTCGCTCAGGTTTCTCCGGTCACTCCTGCCCGGGGAGAACAGAGGCGAACGTGCCTCCCGAGGAGGGGCTGGGGGAGGCGGCAGTGGCGGGGGCGGCCGAAGGTGAGCCCGGGAAGGTGGCCGAGGGCCCCTCCTGCCGGAGTCCTGCCGGTCCTCCCTCTGGGCATCAGCCCCAGCCCTGCTTGACCCCCACCCCCACCCCCTTTGCGAAGGGATTGCCTCTCTCTCTCTCTCTCTCTCTGCGGCGGCGGAAATGACAGTGTGGTGCTGCCGCGGTGTCATGGTGCTGCTCCTGGACGGAGGGGCGAAAACTCTTTAAGTTTGGCTCCGGAGATTCAGCCGCGGCTGTGGCGCGGCTACCAGGCGGTCCCCGGCGGGACGCGCGGGCGGGCGG